GAGAGGGGCGTGCAGCCGGCCGACTCCGGGCGGCGGTGCCCGCATCAGTAGCCGGCACTTGCTCATGTCAGCAGCCGAGTGCTTTTCTGCCCTGCTGGGGGTGGGGGGCGGGTTATCTTGCTCTGCCCCTTTCTGTCATCAGTTCTGCAGTTTGTTCCCTGAACAGACTTCCACCAGCTAGCTGGTGCAGGAAGGAGCATTTGAAGAACTAGATAGGTTTGCTTTGAAGCATAAATGGACTTGTTCATTGCAGTTACAGCATCACGTAACCACCTTGCTCTTATTTTAGGCATGCACCTGGGGTGTAGCCTATGAAGTCTGTGGAGAACAAATTGCTGCATCACTGCAGTATCTGAACATGCGAGAAGCTGTCCTGGGAGGCTATGACACCAAGTTGGTGAAGTTCCACCCACAGGATAAAGATGCAGGTGAACCCATCTTGGCCCTTGTTTACATTGCAACGCCACAGAACCCTTCTTACCTTGGCCCAGCATCTGAAGAAGACATTGCAGCTCAAATCATTGTCTCAAGTGGTTGTGCTGGCCATAACATAGAGTACTTGCTGAGACTAGCGGACTTCATGCGCTACTTCTGTCCTCAAGCAGAGGATGAACATCTCTTCTCCATTGAAGAGGCTCTTATTTCTATTCTTCCCTGCCTATACTGCACAGAGGAGTCCCTAGAAGAGACTGCAGATGTCCCTCAGAAGTCCAAGGGCTGAAGCAGAAAACTTGCAGGGTACCAGTAAAATGGAAATAAGGGAGAAAAATGGGACAGCCTTAATTCCAACAAAATATACTGGACTGGGTAAATAAAGGGAACCTTAGCAAATAGTAGGGGAGGAAGTGGAGGAGCTGTAAAGCATGTTTGCTATGGGACTTGCAATTAGTATGCCTGCTACACTCCTTACCTGTAACACTAAGATAGCTATTGCTGCTTTCCTGCTGGGGAGCAGGGGTCTTGGCTGGTAGATAATCTTCTTCTGTAAGGCTTGCTTTGGGGGGTCAAACCTGAAGCATTCACTCTTTTCCTCTGAAAAGAAGCTTGTCTCTTCTGTGTACTTCCTTCCCTTTTTTCTTTTCTTCTTTCTGAAGACCAGTTGAGCAGGACTTGACTGGGCTTAAGCAGTCTATATGTAATTCTACCTCAGGCCGGCAAAGCTGCCTGTGTGGTGGTGGAGACTTGGGCAGGCTCTGCTAAACAAGACCCCCTATTTTCCCCTGTCCCACCTCCACTACAATGACCTGACAGTAAATGTCAGGATTTCTGTGCAATATTGAATGAACTTGCCTCTGTAGGTCCTACTTCCTTATGTTGCAAAGGATCAGATGAATGCACTTATTTTCTAAAATGTCGTGTCTTATTTATTATATGTTGCATGCTCCCTTAGGAGGGATGTCTGAACTGTTTATTTACATGCCACACTGGTATGTGGTTCACATTCAACCTTGCATTTGTGCCTTCTAGTTTTAGATCAGTTTTCTGAGGAACTAAGCCTGCTTTAAAGACAGAAGCTTTTCTCCAAGCCTCACTGACTCTGTGCTGCTACAGTCTTAACTGACTTGATAAGAAGTGGTCCTACCTGTGTGGAAAGTCTGTACTGTCTGCAGGAAAGCTGTCTGGATGCTGCAGCACTCTAACCTTGTGCTGGATAAGCCTATTAGGCTTCAGGATAGTATGGGTTTCTCTAGAAAGCATTTGAAGGTTCTAGTTTCATACCTAGGTGTCTAAGCAATCCCACTTGTATAGTACACTCTCCTTTGACTACAAAGGACTGTGACTGAGCATATTTGCAAGCCTTTGAGTTATCTAGAAGCCTGCTTCCATCATGTTAAACAGGCAATGCTGCAAGCTCAGGCTTTTGAACTTGACATATTAATGTCAACAAAATCCATAGTATTTACTTAAAAAAAAAAAAAAAGCTGCTTCTGCAGCTGTGGCAAAATAGCTTTTGGGAGCTGACTCCTGGGACATATTGACTCCTCCCAAATGTCTTTTTTAATTAAAAAAAAAAAAAAAGGATGGGGGGGAAGGGGGCTAGGAAGTTTGTATTACTGTGGCTTGTATGTATATAAAGCTATACTGTACTGTGCCCAGTAAAAAACAAAATGACAAAATTCTAAAGTTTTTTTGTACTCTGGTCTCTCTCATTAGTGATTTTTGCATTCAAACTGACCCTTAATAGGTTTTTAAAAATAAAGTGATGCTGCCATTGTTCCTGTGTATAAAAATCTCACTGAGCAGCCTCCTCCTGCCAGTTCTATTAGAAGACACCAACTGACCCTTTCCCTTTGAAAAAAGGGGAGTTGAATCATTTTGTTTTCTCAGCTTTCAGCTCTTGTTGATCCTGGAGTCCAAGTGCTGACAATGGATACAAACCAGGCCTCCTGGCAGTGGAGGTCAGGCATAAAAACGTAATTCTCCCTTGGCAGGTCAAAAGGTTTCTTTTTAAGTGTAACTTGGCATCACTGCTTCCAAGAAGTAATGGCAAAAGGACAAGAAACAGCAACTCACAGCTCAATCTGACTGGAGCAGGGGAGAAAGTTCTTTCCCTTGTCTTGTGCATAATATGGTATGTTCAGGGGTAATGTGTGGTGCCCTTCTGGACTCCTCTAGTCACCACTTGCCTCAACACTGGTACATCATGTTACTTACCAGTATTACCTGCCTTGACTCCTGAGTGATGAAGGAGTGACAGCTAATTGAAACAATTAACTTAGTGCTAATGAAAGAATGTTAGAGAAAACTGAGCTCTTCCTTTTGCTTGAAGGCTCTTGCTTCAACTGAGTAGCTGCGTTTCCCCATGGGAGCTGTAAGCCTGGGGTTCAGTTACAGGAAAATCAAAGACTCAGCCCTTCTAAGGGAGAATACTCAGCAGAAAGCCTCTTCTTGCCCTCTTCTGCTGACAGTGCTGCTCTGAGCGATGTTTTGTTCTCTATGTGAGACCATAAAACATCTTTGGAGTAACTCATGGGCAATTCTGGAGATACTTAGAGATGGGGAATGTCCTGTTGTTACAAGTCTCCTATGAGAGAAAGCAGTACCCACAGTTGATGGGCATTTTTATCATTAAACTGATACTTTGGGGAGAATCTCCCTGAGATAGCTTATGGATGATATGGCCCACTTACAACTGTTAAGCCCTTACCAGGGTGGCTTGCAAACTTCCATTCCTTCCCTAGCTGTCAAGCCTTTGTGGCTTGCCAGTATCCCCCAGCTGGAAAATTACAGGGTTAAAGAATCAACTTACCAGCAAGGAGAATGTTCTCTTAGTACAAGACTACGTGCTCAAATAGCAAAATATCTCCAGATAAAGCAAAAATATCTTCATACCTTTCCAAAGTTTCAAAGGCACTTAGTCACTTCAGACAGCTAGGAACTGATAGCAGATATGCAATAAGCATCCTGCATTACTATTTCATATGGCCAGCTGGTTTTCATCCCATCTAGGCAGGATTGGTTCCATGATCTTTCATGTAAGCAGTAAAGGACAGGCAGCGAGTGCTTGTGAACAAGTCAGTGGTAGGACTGTTCCTTCAGCTGCTGTTTCTTCTTTTCTTGAAGAATTATGTATTTTAAGCACAAGTGTAGAGAAGCCTCACTGAACTGCCATTTTTCTCCTGAATGAGCTCTTTGTAGTGATGGTCCAAGAAAGAGAGCCTGTTTTCTTTTCATAGCCCAGCAGGAGTGGCAAAGGCAGCAGCTTCCCTGTTGTCTGCTGTCGTCCTGTCACTGCATCTTATAGCCATTAGGACAGACAATGAAATATTTCAAAAGTTCTTTCTTGAGGCCTTTCTTGTGTCCTGTGATTCTGGGAACTAGTCAGGTTTTAGTTGGCTGATGAACTTAGGTTAAGATTCCAAATTTGAATTTTTGGTCACATGAGTGAGGAGAGGCAAAGCCCTGCAACATTTGCTATTCGCCCAGCTAATGTGTTATATGGCTACTCAAAAGATGGGACCAAGGTGTTTTGTCTCTGAAGAACCAAAGTTGTGGAAAATTGCTGCTCGGAGATAGTCGTATGACCTTGTGCTTGTGAGTGCCAGGTCAGTGATAATATGTGAAGACAGTATGCAGTGAGTTCCAGAGTACCCCATACACATTTCACTACAAGCAGCCTCCCCCCACTTCATGTGGCTACTTTAACAGTACTCAATCTAGGCAAAGCAGCACAGCCCAGTGCAGTAAAAAGCTGGATGTGGGCACAAATCTGTGAGCTCTGCCATAGGCCTGAGGGCTAACCTTGGACAAAGCACTTCAACTTTTTTGGAAGAGAGTAATAGTATCAACCCCATGTGCAAAATACTGCTAAGATATCTCTGGAGATGCTTTCATATCTAGTGGCTTCCTCTCTCATTTGCAACTGAGTTCCCTAACAAGCTCGCTCCTATTGGGTCACCTCACGCTAGAAATCAGCTTTCCTGCTTGTAGTGTAAACGTGTTTACCAGCTCTCTCACTTCCCAAGTTTTAAAACACCACAATTC